ATCTGAGAACCATAGAAACTTACGGATCGGGAATCCGACATACGGATCTTCCCGAATTGGATTTGTAAGTTCATAAAATGTTGACCACCACTTGATTTTGGCAATTGGCGGATATCTGACCGTTGAATCGTAATGAAACATTTGAATGTTATTCTAGGAACATAATGTGAATCTTTGGAAGTAACGGATTTGAATTTTGTGATGCTGATCTTCCGGATTGAATTTCGTAGGGATGTGTTTTATATAAATTATGTATTCTATCGTTAAGAGCTCTGAGACGTGATTTGATAATTATTCTAGACGACGATGGTTCGTGATGTCTCGATATTCGTGCTAGGGAGTCATAGCGCGGACCTTAGGTAAGTGAGTCTTTTCCTTTCTATTGTACATATATACATACATACATACATACATACATATATATATATATGATTGATAATTCCACAAACGGTTACAAATTGATTATTGCATATAATTACTGTGAATGCCTTGAAATATTAATGCGAACTACGAATGACTTGATCCTTGTTTAGGGTACGTAGGCAGTCTAACGAGACGTTAGATGTAGCCATACCATAAATGAGACTAAATAATTGAGACGATAGCCTTGTTTGGGAAATTGTGCAAAGAACATTGGTGGAAAATGTGAGGGTTAACCTTATGACTTTGTGATTGGATGTTGGTCATAAATCATTGTGTGAAGGATCGAGAAATTGAAGTAAAGAATCATAAGTATTGATAGTTAGTCAAATTAGTGTTTAGTTGAGCTTGTCACTGATAATTATTCTCGACAATTAATAGTTTGGGAGTAGGGCGTTATAGATTATGCGTTTTACGCCACATTATTAATATATATATTTGGAAGCACTACGATATGGTTAAGCTTTGGATTGCATCAGGGCATGTCCATAAGTATATTATTGCGCATAATTTGTGTGAATGCCTTAAAGTACGAAGGTGAACGCAGGATGCACAGATAAGTTCAGGTGAGTATATGTTGTGAAATGTGGGATGCATGGTTATGATTATATTTTATTTGGAACAATTGAGTGATGGCATGACTATATTTATGTTTTAAGCAAACTCATACATGGTTGTACAAGTTGTCTATAAGTCGTATATGCCATATTAGATACATTTAGAGCTCATAACCCTGCACCCCGGTGTTATTGCTCTCGCCCGAAGACAAGGCCTAGCCTTCACGTGATTGTTCACCTCCCGCACCACACGCTTACTTTGGATTCAAGGTAGGTGCCAACTTGTCGTACAAACCACATTAGGTGGTTCCGACTCATAGGTGACTTGCGATACTTCGCACAACCTTCACATGATTGTAGTACTTGAGTGTAATTATTTACACCCAGCCTATCGTACAGACTGCAAGAGGTGGTTCCGACTCGTGTGCAGGGATATGTAATAAGCTATGTGTTCAGCCGTACAGGCCAAAAGAGGTGGATCCGGCTGACATATTACTGGGATATTGATTGATGAGATATGGATAAGTTTTACAGGTCACTATAGGTGTCTCCAACTTATGTGCTAGCGCTGATTGATGAGGTATGGATAAGTGGTACAGGTCGCTAGAGGTGACTCCGACTTATGTGCTAGAGTTGATTGAAGAGATATGGGTGTAGTCGTACAGGTCACATTTGGTGACTTCGACTTGCGTGCTAATATAGATTGTTTAGCACATGATTATTTATATGACTGATGAGTTGTTGTGTCGTGGTATATTTATGGAATTACAGTTGATATATTTTTTTAATTTCACATTGATACGTGATATGATTTTCTGGAACTATACAGGTGTTGCATCGAGGGGTTATAACGTTTTAGAAGGCTTCTATTAAAAAATTTATTTCTAGGGCCACTTACCCTTGTTTTGTTTTCACCCTCCAGGTTTTATTAGCTGAGCTTTCTTATCGTCGGGGATTCGTGGCAAATCTTAGTATTGGAGATTTCTTTCGAGGGTATGATTCTTAATCCACCCTACTGTACTTACTTATGCTTTAATGTCACGTGTGAAGTGGGTTTATTCCCGCTCACCAGCGCACTTTGGTTTTTAGGCACTCCTAGGTTTAAATTATTCACATTTTTCCACATCATCATACTTTATGGCTTCGTCACCTTCCAGATGTCGGCCAACATAACTCGATTCGAAGTCTTAGTAGACATCCCGGGTCGGGTGTGTCACATTAATTGGGGCAATTATTTAGTATATTGTTTTACACCATTTTGATTGCTTATAAATATGCTCTTCTATTCCTTTTTTAAATATGAGCTCCTAGTTTGCCATCTATCCATTATTGATTCTTCATTCTTCCAAGTGATATCTTTCAAGTTTTATATACCAAAGGAAAATTGAGTTGTTCACCCGATCCAAGTATTGCAAGTGTACGCTTACAAGGATCATAAATTGTTGTATCTTGGAGGGTAGGGGGCCATAACCTGCTACACCAAGACATTGTATTAGAGGGGCAAAATCTAATTTTAAGGACAGTGATTACATGCCTTAACCTAAATCTTATTCTAATCAAGCATGGACGAAGAGCATTTCTACCCTACAAAAGATAAGTATTTTATTGCATTTGGTTTATTTTATTTGATAAATTGTGGTAATCATATTGTGATATACTAATATTATTTATATATATTTGTTGTAGGAGAAGTAGCATCCGTATAGCCAATATTTCCAACAAATCCAACAATTAAGGCTTATTATATTAACACCCCACATTCTTAATAAACCCCACATTTGCTTTTTCAGTTAAAATTTGTCTTAATACACCCTACATACTTTTTCATAAACACCCTCACACTCCACACTCTCAACATAACCTTACATTTTCTCCATTCACCCCACTTTTCTTCATACACCCCCACACTCTTCACAATCATTTTGTTTTTTTATTTTTATTTGTTTGTGCTATGTACCGTTTGATACAAAATCATTCATTTCATACAAGTATTTTCTTACTGCTATAGAGGATTCAAATAGAGGAAAGTAAAAGCTGCTTGGGGAACCTTACAAAAGTGAATGGGCAGAAGTTTCGACACGATTGAGAGGGTTAAGAGCATAAATGGTGAGAGCAATATGTTTGAATTTTTGTCCTTAACCTTTTTCCATCCAATCAACATTGATTTGCAAGGGGGTGTATCTGAAAAATGATAATTTAGGAACTAAGATGATGATGTGGGGAGCCTAGGCTCTCTATGTCCATTTGGTAGTTAAATTCAGAAGTATAAAGTATTGGCCTTGGCTGAGATGCACACTAAATAATATTTTATGCATCACATATCATACTTAAACACCATGCTGTAAATGCAAAAATTGTCTTTTGAAGGCACAAATGCAATTTAGTATTATCTAATCAGTAGATTATTTTTAGAACATGGCTTTTGTGAAACAACATCACCATTATCTTCTTTGCGAAAGAAGGGAAGGACTGTAATCTGATACCAATGAAGTTTAACCTTCATCCACCTGTGATAGTACATTTTGAACAAGGTGAAGCTTTCGAAATGTCAATTTCATGTTTCGTTCGTCAAAAATAATTTTTCTCAATCAATGTGTTTGTAGTTTCATCGGTTAGGTTTTTGTTATACAATGGAGAGTGGTTTAGAGAGTTGAAGAAGATAAATAATCTTGTGATATACATGTTAAAAGTGATTTGGGGTGTATTTAGTAATTTTAATTTTTTTTAAACCTTATAAGGTTGAAATTGTCATTGCATAATAGAGTATATGAATCATTTAATATTAAATTTTAATGTGAGGTGTATTCAACATTATGTGGGGTGTTAATAAAAAAAAGCCACAATTAATTGTTTGTTAATTTTTTTTAAATAGTACAATTTTCTAAAATATTTTTATAGATATAGTGTCACTATTTCTAAAAATATGTCAGTTTTTTTTTTTTTAAATAGTATTACTGTCTAGAAATTGTGACCATTTATTTCTAGAAACAATGGGCATTATTTCTAGAAATCGTGACACTACTTTTAGAAATGGTGACAATATTTCTAGAAACGGTGTCACTATTTCTAGAAATAATGTCATTGTTTCTAGAAATAGTGTCATTGTCTTAGAAATGGTGACCACTATTTCTAAAAATAGTGAAACTGTTTCTAGAAATAGTGTCACTATTTGTAGAAATAATGTTTGCTGTTTCTAATAATTATTATTTTTAAGAAATTTTCTTATTCATAAAATTTTATTAAGTGTTTTTTATTAAAAATTTGTGGATAATAATTTTGTTGAATTTTGACATGTGATAAGTAATTCATATTATTATGTCCTTAAAAATATGACTAATTTTTTGTATGATTGTTTGTTTTTGAGATTAGGATTTGGGATTAATTTGTGTGGTTTTTTCTTGGCAGCAAACAAGCTGATGACCTCCAAGGACCGCAAGTATGTTCAAATTAACATTGGGCATTTGGATGAGCATGGCTCCTACCAAGTTAAATCTGGAAAAAGCTTGCAATTGATTTCTCTGCTGGATTGTCATGGATGAAGAAAATGACGTCATAGTTATGGGGATAGGTTTATTTCTTGCATTTCTTTCACTTAATTTTATATCAAGTATAATTTTACTTTTTCTAGGTGATTGTCTATGTAATTTTTATTTGATTGTTAATTGGCACTATATGTGCTCAGCTCTAGCTCCATTGGCTGGAACCAGTCCGAGAACTTGGACGTCGTTCGGTTTCTCTGAACCGGTCTGGAACCAGTGAAGAACTGGACCGCTGGAGCTGGTCTGGTCATGGTATGGGAGTGCGAGAGCTCGACCGGGTTAGCGTGGCCCACCTGGCCTTGGGCTACGCTGGACTTAGACCCTGGTTGCTTTTGGCGCTGTTTGGGCCGGCTCATCAAGGCCTAGGTTCGGTATTGAGTTGTGGTTCTAGCTGCTTCTGTAGTGGCTTGGGCATGCTTTAGCTCGGTGGTGCGGGCTTGGCTCGCTACTGCTCTACAGCGTGGACCTGGGCTTGACCTTAGACCCCAACTGCTACAACAGCTTCTTGGACTAGGCTCAGGAGGGGCTGGGTTAGTGCTGCATAGGCCACGATCTGGGCTCTATCTTGAGCTGTCCCACAGGCCACTATAGTGGCGGCTGCCGCTGCTGTCATGGTCGCGATGGTGCTCCACGGTGGCAAGGTTGCTCTGGCCGCCATGTTAAGTCTCGAAAATCCTCGCATGAGGCCATGTCACGATCTTCATAGTCTGGTACATATCCTTGAACATAAGGTGTTTCGTTCATCATGATTTCAGAATTTTTCAACATTGTATCTTTTCCCCAGGGCTATTTAAAGAACTTTAAAAAATTCTCGGAATAGAAACATGTGGGAAAATCTACGCAATAGGAAATTCGAATAGTAAATGCGAGAGCCTTTTTCGATCAATCAGGCTCTCAATGAAATCACTAATTTGTGGAAGCAAAATTCTGCCGTCTTCGGTCTTGACGAAATTGTAAATACAAAACAAATAAATACCTTTGATCAAGGTCAAAGCCTCACGCGCTCAATTTCTTTGAAAATAGTGAGTGTTTAAATCTTGTATGCGTAGCAAAAAGCTTACCATAATTTGGAGGACATGAGGTATTTATAGGGACGTGGCAGTCTTACGTGTAGGGTTTTGCCCTACACGTGGTGGCTTCCCATTAGTCAAGGTGAGTCATTCATAGTATGGATGAGGAAAGAATTTTCTCAAGATAGTAAATAGGAGATAATATCTTGGGGGGATGATGGAAGTATCCCTGATTGATTGTGATGAGGATTTCTTATTTGTTTGAGTTGATCTTCAATTAGGAGAGTATTAAAGATAGGACTTGCCAAATAATCATATCTTTATAGTCTTTGACTATTCTTCATTTCCACGAGCAGGGGAACTTGGTAGTGTCATAGTCTGCTGCTCAAGCCTCTAAGGAGGTTCGACTGTGCATGAGAATATTTGTGGGCCCTGCTCATTTAATGAAGGCATTCTTGTTTTCTTCAGAAAAAAAGTCCATGTGTCGTCTCTAGTACTTTTTCCTCCACAAAGTAGATCTAGCAAATCAAACAACTCCACCCTTCACACATAGATCTAGAAGAGGTAGCACACCAAAATGAAAATTAAAATCAAACAACTCTCATATGGAGAGCAATCAAACTAGCAAACTCTCTTACGAGAGAAATCAAAACCAAACTCCAAGGCAATTCTTGGAAACTATTATACAGAAACAAAATAAAAAGATAACCTCATGTCACCGCTCCACATCATCTGGACATTCGAGAGCCATATTACTGCACCGGGTAAACTTATAGTGTCATTATGGCTAAACCCAATCCCAACGCAATCCGAAATCCCATGGTTTCCAACTTCAACCCTATGATAGCTGGAACCAAATCTTGTGTTTACTATGTGTGTGGGCCAAAAGATGACACTATTACGGCGATAATTCTATACAAAACAAAATAAACGGAAAGAGAGCAGGAAGAAACCAAGAATAAATTGCAAGAAGATTGTCGCCGACCCCAAAGCCAAAGCAGGGGTCAGCAGCAGATAAGTTTGTTTGGTTTTTTATTTATACGGTTGGCTAGGATTTCTTTTTCATTTTTCCCATTTGTAAGAGATGTGAAAACACCCATGTGGAGCCTAAAATAATCCCAAATATTCTAGAGGTGACAAGTGAACTTTTATTTAAGAAGGACAAAATTGCCCTCAATAAATAGGCAGGTTTCTCAGATGCTCCCACGCGCAACTCACATCCTTGGAGGTCTCAGCAGCTGAACACAACTGCTCACTTGCCTTTGGCAAGGTTAGAGATGTGAAAACACCCATGTGGAGCCTAAAATAATCCCAAATATTCTAGAGGTGACACGTGAACTTTTATTCAAGAAGGACAAAATTGCCCTCAATAAATAGGCAGGTTTCTCAGATGCTCCCACGCGCAACTCACATCACTGGAGGTCTCAGCAGCTGAACACAACTGCTCACTTGCCCTTGGCAAGGAATTAAAGATGAGGATTAATTACCCAAATCCTATCATTAATTCATTCCTAATTGAAGATTGACTCCAGCCAAGTAAGTAATCCTAATTTAAATCAATTAGGGATAATTACCCCATTATCTCAAGATATTATTTCCTATTAAATATCTTGGGAATATTTAGAGAATATCTCTCCATTAAACACTATATGGCCAGCCCTAGCCCTATAAATACCCCACATTCTACCAATTTTTGAGAGCTTTTACAACCCTAAAAAAGCCCTAAACACTTTACTCTCTCAGATAAACTAACTTAGGCATCGGAGATTCGTTGACCTAACCCCCCCCCCACCTTGTGGGCGCGTAAGGCTTTGGTCTCTGATCAAAGGTGTTGATTGTTTTGCAGGTACATTTTCGTCAAGACTGAAGACGGTAGAAATTTGCATCGACAACCTACATATGAGAAGAAAGAAGAAGGAAGTTCTTAAGTGCCAATTAGTAAAGAAAGTTCTACCACCGATTAGTATATATGTACCTAGAGTATTTTGGACAATAAGTAATTCAACATTGCTCTAACTTTCAAAACGTTCTGAACCCAGCCCTTGGACACCTATTTTGTACCTTATTGTAAATAGAGGTGTACATGCATATCATATATATATTTAGAACTTTCTACATGTTTTATACAGTTTGAAAATCCATAGCATTGTGCTGGCACCCTCGCTAGATTTCTTTAAAATAAGGAAAGAAGTAGTGAATAATAAAAATGCAAAGAGAAAACAATAACTTTTGTTATGAGCTATTCAGTTTTTATTTTGTTGAATGTCTTAAGTTCATACAAGTTGATTAAAAAAGATATTTCTTTTCAAATCTCACTTAATTAAAAAGTCTAAAAAAAATACTTCATTTATCTTTCCAAACTTATTGAATCAATGAAATACATCATGGGCTTAACTCACAAGAACTTCCTTGCAATTAGGATGCTACGATGGTAATATCTCATGTCAATAACACCATAATGCCTGTTCAGATAAGAATGTTAGAACACATGACAATGCTTAATTCAACTTGAAATACCATCACCAATACATATGAAGTGTGGGTAAATTTTTCTCAATCACCTTAACCCTTTTTCCTTAATTCCCAAGCACGTTCCGATGAAAGTTAACACTCTTAATAAATTATTGCCTCTCGTGCCACTTTGCATGACAATAGTTATTGTTGCCTCTCAATTGTTTTTTTTTTATTTTTTTTTATTTTTGTAAGTTCTTATTGCCTCCACTTAATTTAATCAAAACAATTCTCATGTTTGACATAGCTTAGATTATGTTTTTGTGGAACTGTAATATTTAAATTATATTAGCATAAGTTGTATTACTTTAATTTAAGCAAAACGTTTCTCAGTGAAGCTCTATTAAAAGATTTGGTGTCATCCTTTTCCTCCAGTCAAAGTCGATGTCTTTGCTTTGAATAATATATCAACATTATATAACAAAATAGTAAAACCACGTTTGTTTTGAAGTATTATAATCAACCTGGGCTGCTGTTGCCATGGGCGAAGCTGAGATAAAGAGGGCGACCGCCCCTTTGGTAGCCGGAAATCGTCATTTAGAGTGAGGATTTCACCTCTTAGGTTCTCTGAATTGCCGCTGAAATCTGTTGCGTTACTTCGCTAGTTCTATGTTTTATGCTTTGCAACTTCTTATTAGGGATGGGCAAACGGATCTTGGATCTGCGGGTCGGGATGGGTGATAGGAGATGCGACTTAGTTAGCTTGTTTTTGTGCATTTGTGTTGTTATTTCTTAGTTAATTATGTATTTTAAGCTATTTTCGTGTGTTTGTAGATTCAAATAACAAAGTTGGCAACAAAGTGCTATTTGGAGCACTTTGGAACATTTTTGGGCCAATATTGGATAGTGCAAGCATGGAGACATGAGGATGGACGTTTTTGAAGATTAGAAGGCTAGAAATCAGCATGTGTGTGTGCAAGTGTGTTGACCTACAACTACAGACACTCACCCACTACACCCATTACATCCACTCATTACCAAACACTCATCCACTACACCCATTACATCCACTCATTACCAAACATCCACCCACTACAACCATTACGTCCACTCATTACCAAACATTCATCCACCACACCCATTACATCCACCAAACATTCATCCACCACACCCATTACATCCACTCATTACCACAACACTCATCACTACCACCTTAATTAGATGGTGGTCCTTTCCCTAGCCTATAAATACATCCACCCTTCACTATAACAAATGGGAGAACACAATCCTCCCATCCACCCATCCACCCTTCACCATAACTCACCTATATCCATCCACCACCATAATTTACCACTCATCCATCAAACCACACCTTGTACCGCAACAAAGAGAAGAAGGAGGACCCTTGGACGTGCTTGCCATTCAAGTTGGATTGTTTGAGTGTTTTTAGGTGTTTTCATTCTTTTGTTTTCAATGTCTAAATTTGTTTATCTTTGCTTTGTGAGTATGAGGAACTAAACCCCCCTTAGCTAGGGGGAATTTGAAACCATGTTCATGCTTGCAATATGATTTGATTACCTTCAGTTGTGATTTCATAAGTTGTGAATTCAATTTGTTTAACTGCTTGATTGATAACTTATTCGTGTATGTTTATTAAGAGTGCACACTTAGTTTGCATGCATGAATATGATGCTAGAGTATAAGGGAGTTTCACCTAATAGTTACAAACTTATATTCACAAGTAGTGGAGGTCGCTTATAAACGATTGCGTTAAATAAATTCTTGGCAGGAGTTTCATGCTCATCATAGTAATGAGTGCCTCGTCAATACTTATAGTTTTCATAATACTTAATGATCTTTGATTGTATCTTTATTGTGCTGTTCACGTAAAGAACTTTTGAAGAATGCTTGAATTGTTGTATGCACTTTCCCATCCAATTCAATAACTTAAGGAGAACTTGAAGGTTAATTTAAGCGGACTTAATTAACCTGGGGTGTTGAGTTTCATGATTGATCGAAAGAACAACTGAAAATTGGTTTATGTGCAAGTATGTCATGTGTGGAGAAGAACCTCCTAGCTAGCCTTCCATCCATTCAATTTACTCAAATTCGAGCAGATTTCATTAGTTCTTTAATTTACTTGTTTTGTTTTCAAATTCGTCAAAACCAAAACCCCCTTTACTTTAAAGTGTTTTAT